GCAACATCTCGGGGCAGCCGCTTGCGAGCAGAGCGGGACGACGAGCACCCCTGTTGCATGACGCCCACCTGACGCCTTGGTTCAAACTGGGGCTGTTCCTCCTCGGGGGAGTCGCCCGTCGGTGAAGCGTCCCCCGTGTGAAACTGCACAAAATTCCCTGTAGCTGAGTGGCTTAGGAAAGTGAATGACCTTCTGGTGCTTCAGCTGCAGAAGCCGAGTTAGCCTGTGGCGTGCAGTCTGCTTGCTGTCACGGAGAGAGCAGAGTGAGGCCTTAGGGTTTTCTTGCCCCGCTCTCCCCTTGAGGGAGCGCTGAGTAAATGCCAGGCGCCGCAGAAGGCCCATCTCGGTTTTACAACTAAACAAGCCAAAAGTTTGCAGAGGAGAGCTACCTTGAGGAGAGAAAAACTCCCCAAAACTGCCAACAAAACAAGCCAAAAACACCACCCTTGAAACACCTTAAAAAGTCTTCGCAATACAAAGCAACATGCAGCCCTGAGGGCCCACGTTATTATCGCTGGGTTTTCCTCACAGGCTTAAGGAAGCTACTGGAATTACCAGTTCAATAATTAATTCAGTGTGTCTGCACAGATGAGGATAAACAATTTTGACTCTTTTAATCTAGTGTTCTAAACACTGGATAATCCTTAAAGTCTTACAAATATGCTGAAGTACTACAGAAAATACTGCTCTTAATCAGTTATTTTGTAGTTGCTTATTTGGTTTTGGTATGGGTTCTAGTAATTTGTACCTGTGTTCTTACCGTGCTTTTTTTTCTCTCTCTTTTTTTTTTTTTTTTTTTTTTTAATAGCTCCAGAACTAATACTCCTAAATATGGCTCTCTCTGGGCCCGGTCTTGTGAACTTAGGTAAGAAACCTCATTCTCAGAAGTGAGTATTGTTTCATACCAGTGTCGCAAGATGGAGACCATAATCTTCTGTAGTAGCAAATGAAATAAAGGTTGTTGAAGGGTATTTGCATTTCTTGGAAATTAATGTGTTTTTCTTTTCCTATATTGTCCTATATGACTTTCACTTGTATTTAACACTTAGTTAAAAAAAAAATTCACTTTTTATTTACAAGCAGTTCTCTAAGGGGCAACATCTTCTGTGTAAGGAGAGACATAATTCCTTGGAGCTTACTCCAAGGTATTTACTCCAAAGTATTTTCTCCAGGCCACAGTTTTTAACACGACTGTTTTCTCAAAGCTTTCACTCCAGTTACATGTAATGCACACTTCTAAGCCTGTGCTGCACTCTACTTGCCAGGAGTCTGTATAAGCACACTTGAATTAGCTCTAGCAAAGCTATACTGGGCAACAGAAGCAAAGATGGAGCAGCGTAACAGGGTAGCTACCAAGTATCTAGAATCCCTAGATACAGTTTGTGTTAAAGCCTATTATTTGTAAATCCATCTAGCTAGGCCGGTGAAATCTAGGAGGCAAACATAACAAGAAACTGAAGCCCCACTGTGAAATGCTGTTTGTATACTGCTTATGTACTTTTTGCAAAATTAGAAATGTTTTGGTTGCATACACGTTCTCATTCGTGGCAATTAGCTAGAGCCTTTGAAAGCATAGAAAATACTTAAAATAATCTATCTCCTTTCTCGTAAAAATATGTACGCAGTAAGCTCCAAGTTTTTCCAGTTCTAGTATTGTATCTCATGGCTTTTACTATGATTACCTAATGAATTCCACCCTGTAAAATGTTAGCTTTAAGAATGTTTTCACCTCATACAATTTGGTTTTTATAATCCTTTCCAATTACTGTTTTTAACATTTGATGATGATAAGTATTAAGGCTGCAGTGACATCTTGTGGCATTGTTTTAACTGTAGGTAAAGAAGAAATTTTCTTGTAGTCCTGTAGCATCATTTTAAGACTATATCCTGATTTTTTTCAACAAGGATTTTAAAAATACATCTTTTGGATACAATTTTTAAAATCCTGTGTGGCATAAACATTAATTGCTACAGAACACTCAGAGGTGGTGATGAATCTCTTCAGGCTCCAAAATACTTCCAAATGACATCAAGATAATCTCTTAAAAGAAATCAGTACATGCATATTATTTCGTTAGAAGTATAAATTCTCAGTAATATATTCCATTAAAGAATTTTAAGGCAGTTTTATAACCATCAAGGAATAAAAAGTTACCAGCCTTTAAACAATAAACAAACAAAACCCTTTTGGTTCCTAAGCACAATGAATTATGGCTAGATCTGAAGTCTGATCTTTGAATTTTCTTAGCTATCTAAGCCTAACTGCTTAAGGCTATGCTTTTTGATGGCCTTTTTTCCCCCTCATGAGTGTGCCATACATAAATTAAGTGAATGCATGTACCAACGAGAATGTGGTTTTTTAAAAAATGAAGTGCTGCTCACCTGTATGCAAACTGTGAGCTTACTTTAGACATATAACACTGAAAAAAACTTGGTCAATAATCTGAAGATAAATACATCACAAATCTGTTTTAGGTATTTTATTTGACAATGGTACAAATTAAATTTACCAGTATAATAAAAGCTTGTTTTATTAATTCTGTCACGGATACAGAAGGAAAAAAACCAAACAAAAACAACCCAAACCAACTCCTTCCCAACAAAGAACCCGATATTAAGAATTGGCTGAGTTGACAGTTCATTTCACATATTAAAAATAAAGTAAACAACATCTGTGAGTCTTCACAATTCTAGCTGATACTGCACAGAATAGAAATTACAGACCAGTAAGTAAATGAAATGCAGTAAACAACCACTAGGAAAGTTGTATTTCTGGAAAGATCATAGACCTGTTTGTATACTACTAATCACTATAGCACAATAATTAAAACCTGCTTTTCACTATTACAACAAAATTAAGCAGACTTTACATTGCCATTTTAAGATTTTGCCCTTTAAATCTTACAAAAGTACTAGGGAGACTTCACTGAACAGAGAACAAATCCTTTAACACTGATAAAAAAAGGCAAAAGAATCCACTGTTCCCCCAAAGAAATCCAGAGGTTCGCACCCAGAATCAGCCATGCTATAAAGAATTTGTCACATTTTCAACCAGCTCACTCATTACCAAAAAATCTAAAATTATATAGCATGTGTGCAGTTGGTATTTGTGTTCTAAGTATTAGCTGTTGTTGATTGCCCATAGATACCTTTGAACTGACACTAAGAATCAATTAAAAGCTGATGTAGATGAAACTAAATCCACTTTGGTTGCCAGATTTGATTCCTCCCCGTGATCCAGGAAAATCACAGTCTTTTCTTCGTTCTTCCATACCATAAAAGAGTTCTGTAACTGCAATGGAAAGGTTTGTCCTGTCTATGTTTACACATTTCCAGAACTGCAGAGTCCCAGTCTAACAAAAGCTGTTAATTGTAGTTCTGTTTCTTGCTACAGATGAAGCCAGGGAATTCAGAGACTGGTAACAGTCCAGCCTCATCTATACCTTAAAATATGAATTTTTTATAATGCTTTACCCATCCATTGCACATTTTAATTCTGTTGCCATAGCCACCAAAAAACAAAGATTCATTTGAAAGGGTAGTTAAAAAAAACCAGTAGACCCGTAATATTACAAAATGTACACTCTGTAATAAATGTAGAAGAGCTTGCTCTTATTAAGAACTGTAAATAAGACAATTTTTAAAAGTAAGGATTTTCTTGGACACTTTTTATAGCAATCCACATGCAAAATATTGAAATAAAACTAATGAGAGTATTAATAAGTAATATCCCATCCATTTCTTCTGGCTGTTTATGTAAGTTTCAGATTTCATGTATTCATGGTTCTTACATTTCCAACTGCTAGGTTTTACCTTTCAGCTGCTTGCAGTGCTACAGCAAGCCTAGGCAAATTAATAATAAGAAAAAAAGCCACATCAGAGATGATTTTCCACTATCTCAGCAGTAGTAGATATTGTAAGCAAGGGGTTTAAGACTATCTGAGATTAAGGTGAGGTACTCTTTTTCTGGCTTGCTTTCACAGCAGCATCAGGAGCATCTCAGAATACAGAATAACTTATATACAATCTTCAAAGGGATTTTGTACAGCAACCTAGAAGCCTGGCCAACAGTTTGGTGTAGCCCTTCTATAGTTTCACTGGGAACTGGGTAGGAAGAGATGAGGAGAGGACAGAGAAGGCAAGGAAGCATCTCAACACCTAACTATCAAAAATATTCCTAGACCTCAGTTGGCTAGATATATATATATATGGGGAAAAAAATAATCTAAACATAAGCACTGAAGTGCTTAAGTTTAGTACACTCTTGTGTGCATGTTTCTGAAGAACTGGCCTAATTAATTGTAATAGCTTTTCAGGTTTTAAGGAAAGAGGATGATTTTATCACAGCTAAACGTTAGTATATATTCTTTAAGTTTTCTCAAAACTTACCTTGGAGAATTAGTAAGAAAGGAAAAATATACATAAAAACCCTTATGGAAAAAATCCAGAGGCTACAAATAAGGATGGCTAAGATGCAGTAATTACATGTCCTTCTCTCCTTGAACTCAGTGCAATTCACTGAGTATAGTTTAACATTTAACCTCTTAAATTCATTGCATTACATTTTGGTTTTGTGATTGGCATAATTAGGAAAACCAAACTGAGAAATCATGATATTAGAATATTTTAAAGGCATGCCATCATAAATATTAACCAGTTTATTTACACAGTAAGATCTCTGTAACAAATGCTCTGCTCGGTGCCACATTCCAGAATAGCCACTGTTAGTGTCTTTTTCTAAATTTCTTATATCAACAGGTTTCACAAACACTCCTGAAGGCTTTCCAGTATGCTTGGCTACCAGAAAATTCATGGCAATATCATCACAATTTTGTGTTTCATCTATCAAGGTGTAAACAGCTTCTGGCTGTCTTTGAAAGTCGTCTAAATACCCGCTATGAAAAAATGCTGCGCCAATAAGAACCATAGAATACTGATCTCCGTTTCCAAATCCAGGGTTCTGCAATTCGAAGCTGCCGTAACTGTACACTCCTGAAGGAGTAGAAATGTGCTTTCTAGGAACAAATCCCACTATATGCTCTGGAAATTGCTGAAAAAGAAATTTTAAAAAGTGAAACAAAGCCAACAAAGTGAAATGAAAATCTGTGTTAACTATTTTCATAAGATGTATTTATGTTTTTTTTTTAAATGAGAGGAGCACAATGGGTTTTGCCATGAAAGAATGAAACTGCTGCTATATGGTCCTTTGATGTGCATAAATGTTGTAATTAAATAGTTTTGCAAAAGTGACACAATATGCCTCAGTTCACATCACATAGTGCAAAGAAACATCTGTCCACAATTCTCAGCTGTAAATTAGCCACTCAAAATGAGTGTACAAACATTTTTTCTTAGAATAAAACCCCACAGGCTTGTTTTACACCCTACTATCGATTTTATCAGTTCAGTAATCAACAACTTCAGTGCTCATGTACAAGAAGGGTTAAAACTTTGAAAGTTATACATTACAGGTAAAGCTACAATTGAAGAATATTTTTGCAATTTCTACTATTCAATGCTATTTCTTCTAAAATTTCACTTTACAGATACAGATAGAAAATCAATGATACAACATTATGATCCAGCATTACTCTAATGAAGAACATTCATCCCAAGGTGCAAAACATTACCTGCCAGACTGAAAAGGCAAAAGCAAGGTCATGAGCACTGACTAGTGTATCATCATCCATCATCAAAACAGCTGAAGGGAAAAATGAAAAATTTTTAAGTTTTCAAAAGATGAGCACAGTATGCAGCACAGTATGTTACAAGTTAGCTGTGAAACTTCCGTAACCATTAAGCTGAATTGCAGAACTGAATTTTAACTTCTTGAAAGTTGATAGAAAAAAAACACGGTTAGATTTCAAAGCTAAAGTAAGGCTTCAGCTTTGCGGTAACTAGAAACAAACATAAATTCTAGGTTGCCCTGGTTTGAGAGCACCAGGATAAAATTTTTCTTGTATCTTTGAGCGTGTTTGCATACTTGTATATATCTGTATTGAGTTTGACATCTTTATTGTTAAGTTGAGGGGGTTTTGTATTTTTTTTCCTCAAAGTCATTCAAGTTTCTTTCAACTTCAAAGTCTCTCTCCCTGGTTCCCCTGTTATACTCCTTTGGGAGGGTGGTGGGACAACCACAGAAAGCATCTGTCAAACTTTAGTGGCTGGCCCAGCCTTAACTTCAACAGAGATTATTTACCAGGCTGTTAAAAAACTCAGCAACCTTTGATCATCCGTAGTGGAGCGAGACAGACGTGTGTTGGAAAATTTGGAGTGTTTGGCAAAGCAACTTAAACTTGTACTAATCTTGTGTAAAATTACAACAAAAAGCATTAGATACCATTCTTCAGTGTGTAAGACTTACAAGGGATTCTTACTACAAAATTTTACCCATCTCACTACTTGCAAGTTTTAAATAAGCGAGCTTAATAAGTTGCACAAGTAGCATTCAATATGATTTACTACAGAAGGTAGAAATTTTGCCTTAAATTTTAGGCAAAAAGACTAACAGAAAGTAGAAAACCAAAAATTTCTTAGAACTTGAGACACATTAAAGCTTTTTAATTTTGCAGTATGCATAAATCCTATTGCATTAAGTAAAACACTTGGGAAGTTGAAGCTTCAAGCGTCTTCCTAGAAGTCATGGGGTTTGAGTATCAGGCATGTTAGGGAGGAGGCAGCAAATAGAATTACCTTTACTAATCATGAGTAAGGTCAGGTCTGTAATGCAACATGCGGGGGGTTTTTTTTTTTTCCACTTGAAACAAACAGGACTTATTGTTGTGCTTCTCCTGGAAAGAGCTTAGGAAGAATATTTAGATGAATAGCCAAAAGACTGGGGAAAATAACCTTAAAAAGGATGCATAATTTGAGATAGCCAGACAGCTAAGGCGATGGAGTTTCTCTGAAGAGCAGAGCATGCTTGAGAATTTAAGTCACAATGAATGTATTAAATCAACTCTTTACTAGATGACTTAAGTCCAAATTAATGCAGAGACTGAATAAATACATGCACTGTGAATTTCAGTTTACACTATAAAGGGAAGAGAGGCTGAAGTGCTTATGTTTTCCTGACAAAGGGAATGGAGAACAGACACAGCTGCAGAAGCCCTGAAATCCATTTGACACCCCTTTTTCTCCCCGTACTCTTAATTGACAGCCTCGACCCCACTCGTGGTGGTGTGCATCTGATATCACAGCCTAAGTTTCTTCTGTATTACCCACACTGTAGTAAGTCGGCCCAACAGATCCCTGGACTTACTACACGGTATAACTCAAACCATCTCTCTTTTAGCATTCAGATTTTAAGCATGAAAATAAGGTTAGTAGTAGCAATACGAACTGCTGATTACCTTTTGTTTCCAGCTCAGGGAAATTCTGGAGTCTATTCCTCATGCGATTTACAGCTTGAACTTTAAAGACAACAGGGACAGGATGAGGCCCCAAGGAATTCCACATTTCCTCTGGTATCTTCTCACCAATGTTGTTCCACACAACAATTACTTTATGTAAGTGGGGAATGGCTTGGTAATGATTTAAAAGCTTTAGCAGTAAATCAGTTCTGTTATATGTCTGCATAATAAGAGTAAATGAATCCAAGGCAGACTGACTCTGGGTTTTCGGTTCCCTTCTCGAATTGGGCATTTTGTCATCTTTGACAGTGGGAAGCAAAGCTGTCAAAGCACCTGCCACAAGAAGCAAGACAATGATCACCACAGAAGTGAGGCGTAGTAGGCGGATTCCCATAACTCTTCCTGGAAGCTTACAGAAGTGAAAATACCTTTAAAACAAGTAACAGGAAAGGAAAAGTCATTCATCCTACATATAGGTATCTCCCTTACTTGAGCAAACACCCCGCAACAGTTTAATAGTTTAAGTAAACAAAAAAGAAGGATTTTGGACTCGGGACAATTATTTTCAATTATCAAGACAGAGACTTAGTACTCTGTTTCTAATGTCTAGTTGCTTTTAACTTTTTTTGGTTAACTTTGAATTTCACTTTGGTGAAAATTATTTTAGAGTAATTCTTTAATTCTAGATTGTTCATCATCTCTTACTGCATTTTTGATTGAACATTTATATACCTCACCAAACCCATCTGGTCGAAATCAGAAAGAAAATTTGTGCAGAGATTCTGTATGTTCAGCACTGCAGGAGCCCTGCCTTAGCTGGGAAACAAAAGGGAGAGATGGAGCTCTGGTAGAAAAGAGGAGGTAAAATGCTCTTTCTTCGTCCACTGCTCAGTCACCATACCCAGGAAGAACAGTCTTTATCACTGATTTGCTGGGGGTTCTGTCAAGAGTTTGTATATCTGCTTGCTAATCATTATTAATGTGGAAAATGTGATTCTGATCTTACTGAGCCTGTAAGACAGGTGGAGCAAAAGAAATGTGCCAACTACAGGAATACAGCAACATCAGCAGCAGGTGGTCTGCTAAATCCAGAACTCAGCAGAAACAGGAAATGTCAGATGCTGGGTGATACGCATCAGCTAACTGGGGGAGCAGCCTTAGCGCAAGGCAGGTGTTTCTGGATCCTCGTGATTTTGGAGCTAAATAGGACCTCTTTAAAAGTGGCTCCTACAAAGGCAGCCCCAGCATTCATGCCTCTTGGGTGCTACAGAGAGTTCTGCATTTGTAAGCTGTAAACTCAGGAAGATCCAGCAGCCACTGCATTCCATAGTCTGCACCTCACGTGTCATCCGCATCTGTTCTTCAATCCTTTACTTGCAAGATGAGTATGAACTGAATACAAGATGAATATTCTAAGCTTACTATTAAACAGTTACTTGTTTATCTGTATTACTTGTTACACTGTTAGCAATCTCTAGGCTTTCAGCAGGGAATTCCGATCAAATTAAGTGGCCCAGGACAGCACCATCAGTTGCAATCTTTGACACAGGATTTCTGTGTGTTTCTCACAGAAGTTTTGATCGCTTTTTTTTCAAGGCACACACACCATGATTGAAAATATCAATATTAATGATTTCAGTCTAAAAAAACCTTGCAACTTACCTCATTGTTGCCAAGTAAGATTATTTTTCCCCCCTTGTTTTTACAGGACAGTTGTTTGTGATCTTTGAATCTGCTGAAAATTAAAGAGATGATATAAGTGAAAATGAACAGTCACCCCACATGCTACCCAGCACTCTTCTATGAGTAAATGTTCTTCTCAATTACTGACTGATGTATGCACTCTTGGCAATTATCCAATCCCTTTTCCTATTGCACAACTGAATAATTGTCTCTGCTTTTCAATGAACACTCCAGAAAGAAGTTATTACACTGGTTGGTTAGAAAGAAAAGCACAGTATATTTCTCTACCTGTAAAATTGTTGCTTTGTACCAGGGCAGTGTCTATGTGTTCCATCCTTAGGGCCAATTACAGAGATACAAGTAAGTCTCTACAACCTCAGTCTGCTGGTTCATTCATGAGACAGCTAAAACATATATTTGGCTACCACAGTCTGGTAAGTAGTTTCAATAAAATTGTTTTCTTTTATGGTTCATTACTTTCACACTCT